AGGCAGATTTCTGAAATCTAATACATATAAAAAATTGTCTTGTCACAGTTTTAGATACCGTACTCCTCCATAACGGCTTAACCGATTTTGATGAAATTTTATATGTATATTCAGTAGGTCTGAGAATAGGTTGTTATCTATTTTTTATACCCTTAAGTGACAAGGGGGCCTACCCCAATTTTTTTTATTTTTTGGGTAAAATATTTAATTTTTGTTTTTTTACGATGTGGCATTAAAAAATACATTTAACACTAAATTTTCACGTTCAAATAGGGGTTGTTTTTTTTTAATTTTTTCATATGCAGTAGGTCTGAGAATTGGTTGTTATCTATTTTTATACCCTTAAGTGACAAGGGGGGCCCACCCATTTTTTTTTATTTTTTGGACAAAATTTTTAATTTTTGTTTTTTACGATGTGGCAATAAAAATACATACAACACTAAATTTTCACTTTCAAATAGGGGTTGTTTTTTGTTACCATACTTCTCCCGACTTCACCGTAACAGCTTGACCGATTTTGATGAAATTTAATATGTATATTCAGTGGGTCTGAGAATAGGCTGTTATCTATTTTTATACCCTTAAGTGACAAGGGGGCCCACCCCAATTTTTTTTTTTTTTTTGGACAAAATTTTTAATTTTTGTTTTTTTACGATGTGGCATTAAAAAATACATACGACACTAAATTTTCACTTTCAAATAGGCGTTGTTTTTTAATTTTTTGTTACCATACTTCTCCGTAACGGCTTGACCGATTTTGATTAAATTTTATATGTCTATTCAATAGGTCTGAGAATAGGTTGTTATCTACCACTTTTGAGATTTTGATGGTCAAACAAAGTTGTATTTATTATACTTAAAAAATATTGATTGAAATAAATTTAATAGTTAATTTAATTATAAGCGATACTTTCTTATAATTTAAAAATAAATTTTAATTTAAATTCAGGGTTTAATATTTTTTTCTTCAAAATTAATCGGTACCCCACATCGTTCAACACGTCATTTAAAAATATAAGGTTTATAAGACATGTCTATATTGGAAAGAGTATTATAAGTTAAAATTCCGTTACAATACAGACATAAATTAAGGTTTTCTGATTACAGTTATATTTAATTTATTTTTTAATAAATATTTTTTATGCTGAATTGTGAAGCTCTGCAATTTGTTGTCTGTGGTCATATCGTCAGTTTCGCGTAAATTATATGTTACTTGTTCTATTTAAGCAAACTGATGGCATATTTAGTTTTTTTCGGTATTTTTTTACTTTATTCGATAGAAAATGACACTCTGAATAGAATGACATATCATATGTCAACTTTTGACATTTTCGCATATGGTTTATTTGAAATTATAAAGGAAATTATAACATGCGGTTCATAACGATAATTTGACTCGAAATACCAAGTGTGAGGTATCAAATTATTCGTAAAAAAATACTTTTCCCAAATATGCTAATTAGCCACCCTCGTTCTATTTGAAAAAATTGAGATATGATTAAAAATACGATTTGAGCATTTTCTAACTGGCCAGGACAAGGCACTAAAAACATTAGACGATCAAATCTATTTTTCCAAGGCTACTTGATTGAAATTTAAAATTCAATTTCGTTTTAAGCGAAAATTTCAAAAGTTGACATATGATATATGATATGTCATTATATTCAGAATGTCATTTTCTATCGAATAAAGTAAACAAATACCGGGGGTGCCATTTAAGAATCAAAAGTTGTAGTCATTTCCGGTGAAACAAGAAGTGACCAAAAACAATTGAATACGTCAATCAATCCTAATTTATGTCATATACTAACATACCAAATCTCGTTTTTTTATCTGAAAAAATAAGAAAGTTATAGGGGTGAGCCACTTTTGAGACGCACCCGGTGTAGAAATTAAAATAGACAAAAATTTCTTTGAAAGTCAAATGTTGCCAAAGCTGGAGAATTTTTATTTTAATTGTCTTTATCGGAAATGAATAAAAATTCTTTTTTTTGAAACCTTTGAGCACACTTTCCTGATTAAATAAACGAATTGGCAGATTAAAAAAGCTTTATGTTGGTAGTCATGGCAAATATTACCGATTGCATTGAGATTTTTCTTTAAAAATCGGATATTTTATCACTTTCGACTGTAATATTTTTTTTCTATTTGACATATGACATTTTAAATTTTGCTCTGAGTTTTTAAAAAAAAATTAAATTAAATCTGCGTTTTGTGTACGTAAAACTGCGATTTTCATTGCAATAAAATATGAAAACCACTAAATAGTAGGAATCAGCGACTTGTCTCATTATACTAATCAATTAATTTGAACAGGTAAAAGGATTACAGGGAGCCCCTTTTGTCATTAAACCACGCTAGATCGAAAACATTGTTGCCTAAGTATTGTCGCTTTTATTGAAATACATAATATACCGTATGATCGAAAAAAAAACGGCGTCCAGTTGACTGGGAAATGACGATCAACAATATTTCCCATGCATATATAAATTTACATATAATAAAACAATAATTAATAATAACCGTCTATCAAAGAATATAATCGAAATTATATTACCATAGAAACGCCCCTTGATTTTTAAGACTGAAAAAATTCAACAATATACAAACGGTATGGAAATTTGGAAAAGTATAAACGGGATTAACCATTTTAGAACAAGCAAAATTTTTTATGAAGAATACATTTTTCTCAAAATGTCAATAATAAAAAAGTTTTTCCACTTGTTTTTCCACAATCCGGGGACATTCTGTAGAATTATATAGAATTATTTATGTAATGGAATTATATTATTATTATTATTTTTTTTATATTTACGGAAATAAGAATAATTAAAATTATTCTGGTTTATGACAAATTATTCAGCTCTATTGGCAAAAAAAAATACTGGCTATGGAATTTTAGCGATCATATCAATTTTATTATCAATGAATTTATTAAAAAATCTTATTAAAATAGGTTACAACATAAGATACCTGTTTGTCTAGATGTTAATTTGTGATGTTTGCCCTTTTTTCCTATTTTATCACATATCAAAAATATTATAATATCAAAACCGTTCTATTTATCTAGTTTTCTTTTTGTTAATATAATATATTAATAATTGTTAATATAATATATATACAATTATTAATTAATATATTAAGCATACATCATTTTGCCTTTTTCCGCAGCATTTATGATTATGATAGTTTTTAGGTTTCGTTATAATAGGATTTAAAAAGCCTATCATTTTTGTTTATAGTTTTTCTGCAAATTAAAGAGTCGATAACTAAATAATTTATAACGTACTGAATTAACTAAATTTCAAACTGCAGGTACAATACAAATAATCAGAAATAGGCCTACGGAACATCGCGTCCGCCGTGTCGCCATATAAAATCAAAGTCTCGGGCGGCGAGGCCCGAGTGGTCTCGCGCGCGGCCTATTCGTAAACTTAATTTAGGATAACAAGAAAAGTATTAGCATTAGAAAATTGTACCAAGTTTCAAAAACTTTTTCAATATTTTTACTTTATTTCATACGCAGATACTATGTAAAAATTCCTTCAAATAAAAAAGTTTCTCGCTTACCGAAAATCATGATACAATAAAGTTAATGTTTGAAGTTTAATCCATTTTCCAAAAAAAATACACTCACTATGGAATTTTAATTACCTCAGCTATCACCGCCTATGTGTTCTCAATCGATTAAAAAAAAGAGTTTGTGAATAAGTTGATTAGTTTAGGAGTTATCGCGTAGGAAAGATAAAAAAACATGGTTATACATTTTTGACATTTTGCTAGTTAAAAAATTTCTGACACCCCCAAAAAGGTCGTAATTAGTTATTTCACATGCACAAAGGCCTAACTGATAATCCTGTATAGATATCATGTAGTTATACCTCCAAAAAAATTTTTGACACATTTTGATATCGTTTTTACTCCACTGAAATAATATGGGAAATATTCAGATGTGATTTACACTGAATGCGTCCGACCAAAAATCAGGCGGTGGGGGATCGTGAACGGACCGCCTTCCACAGCACACCCGCTCTACCCGACCCCTGAGACCGACCCGAGCGGTGTAGCGCAAATGGACTCTTAAGAATTTTATATATTAGTAGGTATAGATGGTGAATGTATCAAAAATTGAAAAAAAAAACTAATGAAATTAAAATCATCTCTATTTGATTCCGAACTACAAAATTCCTTCTCTATTTTCTACACAAAGGAGGCGTGGCTTCTTAGTAAACGAATGGAGGTTACTTTGCTGGTCCGCTGTAAAATTCGCCTGTATGAGAAATCTAACGGAAAAATTTGCCTGGCGCATTCGCCAAAATGTAATTTTCACATTTGCATTGTTTGTCGCATCTATTTAGGTTAGTCTGTGATTGTACCAAATAATAAATATCTACTCAGATCAAATCATGTAAATGAAAATATATAGGAAAATCTTTATTTGACGGGTAGGCAACCATAATAGTATTTTGAAGGGAAATTAATTCTCCATTGAATATTGGTACAATAATATACTGGGTATTCCATTTAAAATAAAAGAGTAACATGTTTTTAAAAGTGAATAATGTCCCATATTAATTTTGTCTCACTCTGTATAACTTTTTGGATCAAGTTTTAATTTGATTTAAAGTACAACAATTAATTTAACTACATATTAGGCTATACCGGGTAAATTCCAATAATTGAATAATTAACCTTTATTATTCTCCAAGAATCCGAAAATCAATTAATATATGTTCCATTACAAAAAACATAATTTTGATATGTAACTTTTTTTGGGGACATCCTGTAGAACTCTCGATATTTTTAAAAAGTGCTCTGAATTAACTTACATATGCTCACAAAATTTCATTTCGATACAAACTGTCGTTCTCCTTGGAGCCTCCGCTGCGTATGAGAGGCGCCACCCTCTGTATATTACAATGTTTATATACAAAGACAAAATAATCAGGGCTGCCAGCCTTTACCATCAGGGCCTATAAATAATTATATTTTGCACTTACATTGTTGTCATAATTATAGGGTTTTGTTGCTATATGTAAAGGTGTACATCCACGTTCATTTTTGGCGTTGACATTCGCATTACATTCCAGTAATACCTTTATCACACTTTCTCGGGGAAAAATAATCTAGAATATTTAATAAAAAGTTAATGTTAAATTACGCACTATTTACACACTTACAATTGCTTCTTCATCAATAAAATAACTGGACTTTATAGTATTAAGCCTTGAAACGCATAAATGTAAAACTGAATCGCCAACTACAATGCACTTGACATTTTTCTTCAACAATTCTGTAACTAAGCTCTTAACTATTTCGTTGTTCTCAGGAGTATCAGCAGTCTCAATCATAAGATAGATTAAATGAGTAATACATTTTACAATTTTTTCAAAACATTCTAACTGTCGTTTATATTGGGGTTTAATAGCTAATAAATTTCTCATCTCTAAAAATTATATTAATACAAATTAAAATAAAACTATCATACTACACTTACCTAGAATGTCATAAGTTAATAATTTGAAAGTCTCAACTACATCATGAAATCTTTGTTGGATGTTGGGGACTTTATTTTGAATAGATTTAATATTGTAATCAACCATCAGTCTGACTAAAGCTTGTGCAGTAAAGCAGGAATCCGTATATAAAATGGTATCTCTCTCTATTCGAATTTGTAGAGCTCTTCGCCATAAATCTATGCATCTCTGATATCGCATTACATCAGCATAAGATGCACCTCTATACATAAGCCTTAAATTTAGATGTAAGTGAAAATTAGTGTTTAAAATAATATATTTGATATCAATTATTAAACTTTTAGTTACGTAATAGTGGGCGTCCCATCCCATTTTTTTTTTGAACGGGAAAATGGTAGTAATGGCCCTTTATGTCCTTTAAGTGCTGTTAAGAAGGTGAGTTTTGTTGATGTAAATAGTAACTCTTGTGGTGGCGCACCTCATTCGCCTCGGTTGATTATACGAAAACGGAAAGATGTAGAAACAAAATTTTTATGGGTAAATGTAGAGAGGCAATATGCATAATTTAAAATTATTTTCAAATGTACAGGGTGTGTCAGAACTAAAAAACAAAATTATATCCATACCAAAGTTTTATTTTTTCTTATGGAACACCCGGTATTTTATTTCATTTTTGGATTCTTGGGCATAAAATAAGGCATTTATTATAAGGGTTTAAGCTGTTTAAATGCTGTGGTTTTTGAGATATTTAAAGATATTTAAATATGCATACTATAATAAAAAAGTTTTCCAACATCCTGTACATTACTTTTCAGAGTTAATTCTTGTGCTGACTTTGAAGCCAGAGAAATAAACTTTGCTAAAAAAGTTTATTGCTTCCTTAAATGTATACAGGGGTATTAAAAATTGCTGGTCTATTTAATTAATTTAAATATTTATTTTACATATACATATGTATTTTTTTAAATAAGTTGAAGCAGATTTAAATGCTCTTTCAAACTATGTTAGGGTTTCCTATACCTATCTGGTTCAGATTTTGAATAAAAATCGATTTTTCAATAAAATTGTAATCAAGATGGCTGGTCACTAGCAAAGTGCTAGTGACAGTTAGTAGCTATTTTCAAAACCGACATTAGTTTATGGACTTTATTTAAATTTATAACAGTTTACTTTTATTTAATTTACCTACATTAGTTGAATCAGTAAGTATTTATTATCATGAAATATAAAGAAGTAGTTCTTTAATTTATATTACGATGACTTATAGATATTAGATTTTTTATAAAAGAACCAATTAAGGCAAATTCATTTTCTTCACTTCCAGCGACAAGTTTCTTCCTAATAGATTTTTCATATACATCACTATCAGCTCTGCGAAATAGGAAAAGCAGTTTTTCAAAAGAATGCTTGTGAAGAGAATTCCTATTTGAATATCTCTGAGCATAAACCCTTCAGGCCAACAAGCAACTGTCCTCACAAAATAAAATCACTAGCATATCCATTCTTTCCGCCAGCATATACTGCTTCATTTTTCTTCATAAAATAATAAATACTTATTAATTAACCTCTTTGAAGGTAAATTAAATAAAAATAACCTGTTATAAATTTAAACTTTCCACAAAAAGTCCATAAACTAATGTCGATTTTGAAAATAGCTACTAAGTGTCACTAGAAAATTGCCATGACGACACCAGCCATCTTGATTACAGTTTTATTGAAAAATCGCTTTTTATTCAAAATCTGAACCAGATAGGTATAGGAAACCCTAACAGAGTCTGAAAGACCATTTAAAGGTATGACCTTAACTCTGCTTCGACTTATTTAAAAAAATACATAGTGTTGCATTTGAAATAACGAAGTTTTTATGTAAAATAAATATTTAAAATAGCATTTTAAATATTTATTAGCAATTATTATTTATATAGCAATTTCTGATACCCCTGTATACATTTACGGAAGCAATAAACATTTTTAGTAAAGTTTATTTTTCTGGCTTCTGGCTTGAAAATCAGCACAAAAATTAATTCTGAAAAGGAATGTACAAACTTTTTTATTATAGCATGCATATTTAAATATCTCAAAAACCAAAGCTTTTGAACATATTAAACCCTTATAATAAATGCCTTATTTTATGTCCAAGAACCCAAAAATGAAATAAAATACCGGGTGTTCCATATGAAAAAATATAACTTTGGTATGGATCTTAGTTTTGACACACCCAGTACATTTCAAACTAATTTTGAATTATGCACATTGCTTTCCCACATATACCCATAAAATATTTTTTTTTGTTTCGTTTCTTTGACCTGTATACTATATATTTTTTGTAACAAAAAAAAAAATTTTGTTTCTACATCTTTCCGTTTTCGTATAATCAACCGAGGCGAATGAGGTGCGCCACCCTGTATATTTATAATTCATTTATTTTTGTTTCCTAAAATAATTTGATTAAAAGAAAATATGTAAAAGTGGGCAACACTGTGCCGGTTAAGCTTAATTACGTTACTAAGAGTTTATTTGGTATGAACTGTATGTAGGTAATAATAACCAAAAATAATAGGTAGGTAGGGTAAATAAACCAAAAAGTATGCATACCGAAATATATAATCTTTGTGATGAGATCCCAAAATCCTCTCAGCAATTAATAAACTCTGAAGTCTGATAGAGTCTAAATCACCCGAAAGAGCTTCTAATTCTTCCAAGGTATCAAATTCTTTCTGATATCGGTATGCCTCGTTTGGAACCATTTGTGGTTGTTTTGGCAGCAATCCTATAAAAATAAGTACCTCTTAAACTATTTTTCAATATCTTAATACATTCATTAGAATCACAAGCTTTTATTAGTAAGACATAAAGTTAAGCTATAGGCTTGGTGCATTCTCCATTGGTGCTGCCACCATTGGAGAATATCGTAAACAACTGGTATATACAAATACACGGGTTTAAGTGTAATTTTTAAAAATTCTAAAACTAAAAATAACAAAGTAAATATTTTGATATCTTCAGAAGGTTTAACTTGTATTATAATTTATTATTCCAGCTAAAAAAACTTTTTAGAAGAGAACTACGTTAGCGCGCATAGTTTTTGTTAGTGGGGTTGGTACATAATTATAATTTTAGAAAATGCTCATACAAACATTTAATCACTAGTTGATTAAAAAAGTATACCATTGATATTGCAATTTATATTTTATCCTTTCATAGTAAAATAGTAATCAGTAATTTTTTTTAATGCTCTTCCTAAAGATATCAGAGAACTTCCCCTTTCAAGGTTGAAATTCAAAGCCAAAAATATACTTATGCAAAATGCCTTTTTATACCTATGAGTTTTGGTATTCAGTTATTAATCTGAGCTTATCACGCAGAACGTTAATGTTTTAGTGCTGTGTAGCGATTGTAGCGATTCTGTGATTTTATATTATATAACAATTTTGTGACGTAAAATGTAATAATTTTGTCTTAATGTTTTTTGAAAATTGTGTATGTTTATTTACAAAATTTTGTTTAGGTTAGCTGTATACAGCGCTGCAGTCTGAATTTTTTGACATTAACTGAAATGCACCAAGCCTATAATAATCAAACATAGTCCTTATGAGTATAAAGAACAGGTAAATAATTACATGCTGGCAAATAAAAGTATAAGGTACTTACCACTAAATTGTAACTGTTAAAAAAAAAGAGCAAGTGCAAGCCAAACCAAATTTGTGCCGCTAAAAGGAGCACCTTCAAACATCTAAAGTGTATTAAAACTAAACCATACTTACCATTTTGTTGTCGTATTATAAGTGCCTGTTTCCAGTGTTTTAAGCAAATTGATATATCATTGTGCTCGTCAAGAAATGTTGCTCCCATAAGTTCATGAGAATTAGCAAGTCGTTCTGGATGATAAGATATATTCAGAGTTAAGTATTCAAAAATTCTTGAAGCTCCTTTAAGACAAGCCATTTGAAGAGCATCGTCTCCGTATCGTGACACTGCATTGTAATTGGCACCATATTTTAAAAGTAGTTTTGTAGTTTCTAATCTAAAAATTTACAGTTATAAATTATATACCTATACCAAAAAAATATTTTGTATGCAAACCTATGTTCCTGAATGGCATAATGTAATGCAGTTTTGTTTTGAATATCATTGGCATTTACATCTGCTCCATGTCTTAATAAAAATTCACAGAGTACAGCACTTTGAACTGAGTTTATGAGACAAGTACCACCATTATAATTTGGTTTATTTATATGGGCATTATGTTCTACTAAATATTTAACAACTTCAAAGTGAGTCATAAAACAAGCCGACCTTATTGGAGTTGAACCACTATCTGAGAGAGAATTTATATCTGCACCAGCTTTAAGTAGAATCTCTACCACACTAAGCTTGCCTGAGACAGCTGCACACCATATGGGAGTTACAACATGAGTGGATCTAGAAAAAATATTCAATATACTTATGTTTTCCAAAAAATATAATTTGCTTAGAACATAATCAAAGGAACAGAGATATCAAATGAACACTAACAATTTTAAATTGAAAAAAAAGCAAAATTATCTATTAAACGATAAATATTACTATGCAAAATCATATAAAATATGTTTAAATAATGAAGGTCAATGTCAATAAAGAAAGCAACATAAAACTAGAAAGATAATGGTAAATTATCAATTATTACATATATGAAATATAAGATAACATAATATTGTAACATATAAAATTAAGGCCAATTGAAATATGCAACATAAACAAAAAACTATAGGTAACTTACCTATCCTCTTGAACCTCATATAGCCCCTTCTGTTCGATATCAGCCCCACAAGTTTGAATTAAATATTCTACGATCTCCACTTGTCCTTTCTTGCATGCAATGAATAATGGAGAACACCCTTGTTTTACTCTGTTTACAATTTCTTTACGTGCGTCAAATGAAAACTTTTCTAGTTTGTTTCGCAAAACAAACGATATCTTCGCTCCAGGGGTAGAATGTTTCACTTCATCTACTAATTCGTGGAATATTGCATCCTTTTCGCTAACTGGATCAGTTTTGGAGTGCTTCCACATGCTTAAGTTGCGTAAAAGCGAAATTTTGATTGACTTGAAATTTTCTATCTTGACAATGCGTGTCTTATGAATTATTCGAAAAAATATCGTCCTTCTCTTACCTTATCTACAAAACTTGAAATTGTTCGAAGGAAAACAGAAACGTCATATCGCCAATCGCAAACCTCCCAAACTGTCAACATCAGTTGTTTTCTGTCACCTTGAAGAAGGCGATCAATATTTTTTTCCTAACGTCAAAACTGCAAAATATAACAGTAACCTTATGCAACCAAATAAACACTGTTCGAAGAATCAGAAAAATAGACAAAGATCTAGAAAACCAATTAGTAAAATAATCTTCCACCTCTATAATTTATTACAAATGAATTGTCTATATCAATTTTTTAGTTATTTATGAATTATAACAATGATATTCTGTAATGTAGTGATAATGTCAAATTGCAGTTTCCCATATACAGGGTGGTTCGAACTGTATTCCGGAAACTTCGGCCGCAAATTCTCCAGATAAAAATAAGTAAAAAAGTTCATATAAATATATGTCCTAAAATGATTAGTTTCGGAGACACAGGGTGTAGAAATTTCATTTTTATTTCGGTTTTATCCAAATAATTTCTGAAGCAACGTCCATAATTGGATGAAAATTGGTGTCTGGGGTTTTATGACATGAGAAATTTTATTTTGATGTCAATATTGTCGCGACCCCGTTTTAGAGGGTTGCGGCTAGGGACGTTTTAGGTATCGAAGATCATTAAAACAATCAATATATATATAAAAACAAAATATAAATTTATTAAAGAATTAAATACATTAATTTAGGTTTTAGGTAGGAGAAATGTCAAGCAGAATACCTTTTGACCAATAAAATATACTTAGAGAAAATATATAAAAAATATAAACTTACTTTACTGTCATTATGATACTTGGAGAACTCAACTCAACTGAACAGCATGACTTCTTCATTCGTTCTCCCCGAGAGAGCCCTCGACTCTCCTCTGATTTACTTTTTAATTATTCTCCCATATTGATGTTTACAACAATAAGAATTAAACAAAGTTCACCTTCAGATCTTAGTCTGACGTCAACTTGTTCTAGTTTAATTCTTATTGTGCAAATATTATGTTTATAAAAATATATTCCATTTAATATATTGGGTGATTTATTTTAATGATAAATCTAAAATTCTTGCTCTTGACATTTCCCCCGGTCCTGAAAAAGCTGGTCCCCAGCGTTAAATATAAAGAAAATATAGATATTAAAATAAATTACCTGTGAATATAATAATAATGCAATAAATAAATGAAAACTGTGTTGTGTTTTTTTATACATATAAAATAATAAAACTTAATACTCATAAAATAGACTAATATAGAATAATATTTCTTAGAGGCAATGTAATATAGTGATATAAAACAATGAAAATAATATTTAGTGGGATTGTAACTTGAAACATTAATTAAATTAATTTCTCGTACTCTTTAACCCTTTACATTAATAAAAAAAATCTTGATACCATTTTGTACTGTTGGGAGCAAATTTTCTGCTGGGATCTTCCAATGAACTTTCTTGGGGTGCTTCTATCAGCTAAGCAATGCACACACCAGCTTCTACCCTTGCCTATAATCCATGTGTTCCTAGTTGCATGGGTTTTTCTGTTTTCATTTCCATGCATTATTTAAATATCATATCACCTTCAGATCTTAGTCTGACGTCAACTTGTTCTAGTTTAATTCTTATTGTGCAAATATTATGTTTATAAAAATATATTCCATTTAATATATTGGGTGATTTATTTTAATGATAAATCTAAAATTCTTGCTCTTGACAATATGACTCCTATTTGTAGGGGGCGCCACCTACATCCCTACATGCTTTAACTATTTTGAAGAGTAATACTTTCTCATCCGTTCCTGTATAAAACTACTGAGTGAAAAAATATCATTTTCCGTGGCTTTTTCACGTAAAAAATGTCTCTTGTTAAAAATCTCTACGAGCAACCGTTCTCAAGATATTTAGAATTGAAATAGTCAATACATGTCATTATTAACAAAAAATTGACATGTTGAGTAGATAGTTATTTGACTGAAATAATAGATTCGGGAAATTCTTATTTTTTTTAATTAATCATAAATTTTTCTGCGCAAAAATCATAATAAAACAGTTTCTGTTGAACCTTTGGCACAAAAACATTTCAAATTTACGATTTCAGTCTAGTAACTACTATAACCAGAGAAGAACAATCGTTCTGTACTAACTACTAACTACCGTATGATCGAATAAAAACGGCGTCAGCGATGGCTATGAAATGAAGATCGCTGTCATTTTATATGTAAATTTATATGGGAAGTCATCGATGCTCATTTCATAGTCATCGCTGACGCGTTTTTATTCGATCATACGGCATTTAGTCAACATGTTTAATTTATGTCCATGATGACAGGTATTGATAATTGCGATTCCAAATACCGTATGATCGAGAAAAAACGGCGTCAGGGATGGCTATGAAATGAACATCGGTGACATTTCCCATATAAATTTGCATATAAAATGACAGCGATCTTCATTTCATAGCCATTGCTGACGCCGTTTTTTTCGATCATACGGTATCTCGAGAGTCCTTACTCGTAGCGATTTTTTCCAAGAGGCCTTTTTTACGTAAAAAATGTCGGTAATGTATATTTTTTACCCAGTAGTTTTATACAAGGTACGGACGTAAAGTTAATACCTACTCTTCAAACCAATTAAAAAATATGTAGGTGGCGCCCCCTACAAGTAGGTGTAAATTTGACATTTGACTTCAAAATCAAATTTCTCATGCCAAAAAACTGCCAGATACCAATTTTCATCCAAATATTGACGTTACTTCATGAATTATCTGGAAAAAATCGAAATAAAAATGAGAATTCTACACCCTTTATCTCCAAAACTAAGCATTACATAAATAAATGCCGTTATTGTCAAAAATGTTTACAATTTGTAGACAAAGGTAAAGTAAACAAACAAGCAAACAAAAGAGAATACAAAACATTATACACAAATAACATTGTCAGTCTTATTGGGACATAGGACATAGGACATTTTAGGACATACATTTATACGAACTTTTTTTACTTATTTTTATCTGCAGAATATGCTGCCGAAGTTTCCGGAATACAGTTAGGTTAGGCTAGCAGGGTGTCCCAATATTCATTGGACATAGAACTGCTATATTTTTGTAATCAGAGACATATTTTTGGAATCAAAATCAGTGCATTGGATACAATTTACCTCTATACAAAAGTGCTTTATTTGTGCTTCATATTTGACAATAAGCTTCATCAAAACTTTAAAAAATTAATAATTTTTAAATTAATTAATGTTTGGGTTTATTTTTGATTTATGCCCTCTAACGGACAAACGAAGCACTTTTGTATAAAGTAAATTATGTGCATTTAACTTATTTTGATCCAAAAAACACGTAGTTGTTCTATGTCAATGGAATATTAGAACTCCCGGTACATTTTGTAGGTCTGCTTAGGAAAAATTAATTCTCCAAAAAAAATTTTCTCAAAAACTATATGCGATGTAACGTTTTTCTACTAAAGATAAAAAATGTTGTAAATATTAGAAGCATGTAGAATGTAGAATGTAGAATGAGTGAGAGGGGGGGTTAATCACTGCGAACTTAAAGATCTATTGTGCCCCCTTCCTTGAGTTATTACACAGTCTATAACCCATCATACCTCTGTTGTAGAGGGGACAGAGTATTTTCCATCCTCCTCTGACAACAGATGTTCTTCCTCCGAGGGTACACACCCTTCCACGGTTGGAGTTTGGTCCTCCGTGCCCTTCACAGTCAAGGAGCTTGCCTCCGACTGATGTACCCGTGAGGTGGAGGCTGGAGGATCTGACTCCATTTTCTCCACCTCCTTAAGTTGGTTTCTTCTTAGACCTGATTGACCTTAGACCGGTGTTGTCCTGTATCTATAATAGAGGATATGCCCCTCTTTCTCTATTGCCTCCTTGGATTTGAGGTCAATTCATATTGTGAGGACCTAACCATGACCCTCCTCCCTCGAGTTGATGACTCGCCAACTCGATGTCTTTCGGTGGTGTCTTTCCCCTTGCTCCTCGTCAAAAAGACCGTGATGGCCACCCCCTTAGGGATGTTTTCTCCCTTCACTGCAACCAGTTCCGGCCCTTGCCAATTTTTAAGCTTAGGTGCGATTTCCACCAACCAATTTGTCGATTCTTGAGATACACAATCTATGAGGATCGTGCCCACACGAAAGTGTATCCCCGCAAAACACAACTGACCCACATTTTGTAGATCGTTGTATTGCGATCCGATCGCCACTACTTCGTCCGGTATAGCCTCTTCTAGAGACGTTTGCTGGTCGGTGGTCAGAGCAACCTCAGGGAAATTCTTTGGCAGCACCGCCATTTTCACTTGTCCAGCAATAGCTGCAAAGCTGGCGATACGTCCCTGCTTGCCTCCCGGTTTGGACGGCTTTCCATCCTGGCTTTTTTCTCTCCCTGCCGGAGAAGAGGTGAGAGGTTCTCGCTCCCTCTCATGCCTTTTGATGGAGATGAGTCCTTTTTGATGAGATGAGTGATGGTTGTTTCTTGGTTTCATTACTCTCCCCTTTTCGGAGGAGTGTTTTCGCTTTTGCTTCCTCTGGAGCAAGCCCTTCGTGGAGCAGTCGGAGGTATCTCCGTGCTTCTGCTCCGCTAAGACCTACTCTCTAGACGATCGTCTAGCCCGCCTGGTTGACCCAGGTCGGGTAGACAAAATGGTAGCTTGTATCGCTTATTGGGTCTAGAAGTAGGCTCCCGACCCTTGCTGGAGAAAGTGGTAGCTTATGTGCCACTGGTGGAGGATGCTCCCAAGCAAGTGTCAGCCGCCCCTCTTGTAGTTTCCTTTGGATTTGGTGCCTTGGAACTTTCATTTGTAATGTTCCCAGTGTCGCTAGGGGGCTTCCCCACAGCTTCACCGGTGGTGTTTTTAGTACTAGATCTCATAGTCAGGGCCTATTTTACCATAAGGCCGTAGGATTTATGATATAATCGTAGGATTCAGGTTTTTGGTGAGGTTGTCTCCTCTTATTAGAAGCATCATTTTACGAAAAGAAAATCTGTCGTCGGTAGAGTTGGAAAATATTTATACCTACTAAAATTTATGTAGGGGTGGAGGTAGTTTTCACCATATGAGGGCT